CAAAATTTCGCTTGTTGTTGTACGATAACGCAATAATTCTAAGATAATTGGTTGTATTTTTAAAATTTTGAAATCCAAGGTTTACATTAGCGACTCACTCATTTCATTCTCTTTGAGACGCAAATAGAAATAAGTATAAACTTATTGAAGCAATCGTTATATTGTTATAGTCTCCAACTTTTTGTTGACGGTTTAAGGCGATTGGTGTCCGGCCGTTGGTGGTTGTCGATTGATGTTCAGTGTTGGGCGTCTGTAACAAACGTAAGGTGGTGACATTTGCATGTTAATGCCTTATATATACAGGGTGACACAAAAAGCACCTACATAATGTTGCACAACTTTTTTGTCTTCGTAATGTCCGACTTGTTATTTAGCATATTGAACTAAGACTCGATGGAGCAACCCCACAAGGAGTTTGAGATGACTTGTTCCACTGGATACAATTTTATGAGCATTATATTTAAGATGTCCTCGAAATGTCAGATACACCTGGATTAAAAAAACATAACACATTCCCCCATATAAATGGCTCTGATCTTTCGAGTTATATCTATCTTCAGGTTTTTTATGGTTTGGGGGTTCGATACATACACATGATCATTCAAGTACCCTCTGAGATAAAAACCTCTTGGATAGTGTCAGGCGAATGTTGTCAATAATTTTGCCAGTAGAACCAAGAAGTGTGTCTGCAATGGAATGGATGATTTATAGAGCACATTTTGTAACGGTCATAAAAGTGTATACACCTAGTTGACCAAGTCATGTGAAACATTTTTGTGGTGTTGCTCCATGGAGTCTACTTTAATTTTGCAAAAGAACAAATCGGGAATCATACAGAGAAAAAGGTTATTTAACATTATATGGGTTGCCTTTTTGTTTCACCCTGTATAAATGCAACTCGGTGGTTCTCAAGGTGACGTCATAATATCCCTTTACTCATCTTAGTAGATCTAGGAAATAATTTAATATCGGATGCAATCAAAAGAGCTATAAATAGCCACTACTAAGAACATAATTGCCCTGTTAAATATAACTATAATATTGACTGGCTATACGTTGATATCTTGACAGCAGAAAAATTGTGTAATCGGGCAGAAATGACGTCACCTAAGCTCTGCACTCATGCATGCGATATAAAGCCGTTTTGGGTCGTAATATAATGTAATATACGGTAAAATCATTTTAATATCAGCAAATTATTATGTTTCTATTATGCCATGGTCGCATTTGCTCCGATCTTCAAGATCGGCGCCCGAGCGATGAGTAGTTTGTACAAAACTACATCACCGGAGGCCTGAACTGAAAACCACAGCATTTATTACATGTAGATGTAGATGTAGAAAACTGAGTCCAATTCAAAATACTCATCGCCGGAGGCCTGAACTGAAAACCACAGCATTTATGAGGAAATGACCCTTGGTTCATATCATTAGTCGTAGATGACAGCTTATTAGAACTGCGTACGTCAGACAGATGCCCGTAGCGCTGTCCTTTGTCAAGAAACGTCGATGACATTAGATTTGCTTATTGACTCGTATTAATAGTATTTGTTGTGTTGACCGAAAAACCTGATCAATCCAAGTTTTTTTCAAAGAGGGAAAGAACCGATGCGTCCCAATCAAAGGGTTTTAATATCAGGTGCGTTGTACTTTTGAACCAATCAAATCATTGAAGCACTTTCGGCCATATTCGGTCGTGATACAACATCTTCGACTGTGGTCGGAAAATGGGATCTTTGCCATAAGGTGGATGTCATTGCCACATTCTTTTACATTACCGGCGAAGCGAAGAATCGTGCAGTAAGCTCTGTTCGTTTATGCTTATACGTCGCATGCGTCTTTGCAGGAGCCCGTATACAGTCTAAAGCGCATCGAGTTAACGTGTGCAATGAACGAAACGTTCTTGCAAAGTGGGCATGGCTAATTCGGATAGCAGGTGGATTTAGTCGGTGTAAAATACGAATCATAATTATATCCCGAAACACTCGTTCGTCGGGAAAAATTACACATTGACATAGCATTCTCTGATATTTGTCACCAAGCTATTTGCCGTGATAAGCACATTAGCGTTATTGTAGACTGGAATGAAGACGTCTAACAAGGCTTACACTTTTATTACATACAGGGTGGGCCAAAAAAAACCACCCCCCTAGCCAATATTTCTAATAAATATTCAATTTTTAACATGCACACCTATAATGATATATCATATTAAAGATAATTTAATTTGCAACAAACTGATATATAATATAACAATTTTCAACAACTCTGGCTCGAGATATAACCATTTATGTGACATGGGGGTCAAAAAACACCTTTTCAATTTTCGTCGATTTTGCGAACAATTGCCAATTTCTACCAAATTTTAGTAAATTACAACATTGTCATGAGTCTTTCATAATTGGATATTATATATTGTTTTCATTCAGTTTTTGAACCTTGCATGCTCAATATACATGTGTATGCTTAAAAAACTAATTCATTTCTTCTTCAGTCTGTCCAAATATGGCTCAATAGACTCACCCCCGGACCCAACTTCTGCTTTGATTTCTCGCTTAAAACGCGAAAGCCATTGGTATAATTGATGGATCTCTGCAGAAGTACCATTTCAACACCTAATTATTCATTCTTTCAGTATGCCTACACCCCTGATGGGCTAGTGATCTCCATAGACCAACTGTTCTAAATGCCCCAAGTACAATACATGTAATCAAAAGGCTATACTCTATATAAGTAAGCAAGAATAGTGACATTTGCGATAAAAGGCTACTCAAATCGAGATGACATTTTTCTGAAAGGTAGGTGGTGTCCACTCAGCGTTTCCCAAAAAGGATAGACCATACAGGCCCTGTTTTTTGGACCGGGAGCAAAAATATACTCTGAATGTTAATGACATGAGGTGGTAAAAAAGGACTCCTCAAGAATATAAAAGACATGTGAAAGAAATTTCATTTTCTGATAGAACAGTGCTCCATCACACAGGTCCAATGCTACCCTGGAGTTTTTGGAGATTCGAAATGTTGCCATCTCTAGCCCAGAAAAATGGCTTACTGGCAGTCCAGTTGCCAATAATGGTGATTACCAAACCTGGGAGCATCTAGAACAGTTGGTATTTAAATATACCCAGCCTACCAGGGATGTAGAGGAACTAAAATAAAGAATAACTAGCAGTTGAATGGTACTTCCGCATATATCCATCAATTATGCCATCAACCAATGGCTTCCGCGTCTTAAGCGAATAATCCAATCAGAGGATGGGTCCGGGGGGTGGGTCTATTGAGCTATTTTTGGACAGACGAAGAAGAAATAAATTAGTTTTATAAGCATACACATGTATATTGAGCATCTGTGGTTCAAGAACTGAATGAAAACAATATATAATATCCAATTATGAAAGACTCATGACAATGTTGTAATTTACTAAAATTTGGTAGAAATAGGCAATTGTTCGCAAAATCGACGAAAATTGAAAAGGTGTTTTTTGACCCCCATGTCACATAAATGGTTATATTTCTATATGGGGTTGTTGAAAATGGTGCTATTATATATCAGTTTGTTGCAAATTAAATTATCTTTAATATGATATATTATTGTTGGTGTGATTGTTAAAAAATAAATATTTATCAGGAATATTGGTTAGGGGGGTGGTTTTTTTTGGCCCACCCTGTAGAAGTATAATAGAACGTGGCAATAAATAAAAAAGAATCATCATTAATTTATAAGTTTTCACAGTATTGGAGGATTTACGGCTTTAGAATGATAGTAAATTTGGTTTCATTTGAACCATGAAACATACGATACATGAGCGGGGATAAAAAAGTAATACCGTCGTCCCACGGCCCAAACAACCCCGTCCTTAATTTAATTTTAATTTTTTGATCGAACGTCACATAAATGTACATTATAATATTTGTATTAAAAACACGTTGGACATATTTTCAAGTCACGTTGCTTTTTGGGAAATATTGAAGTCATCGGGTATTTTCTCTTAAAAATCAAGCAAGGGAAGCGCCTTAAAAGTGTGGGAAGATGCAAGCAATATATGGACGTTGGGGTTATTGAATGTGTAGATTTATATAGCGTAACGAATGTTCTAACTCAAGCCATAACATATGGAGTCATAACAAACTTGTCATGTTAAACTATGACGTGTTTCCCTTCGTAAAACTGTCATAAATTGTTCATAAATGCGCATGCGCAGATCATATAGGATTACAATATAATGGTGGTAATGCCGACTACTTTCAATATAGATGTTAGATAATATAGCAATTAAGTTTCATTTAGTAAATACCTGGGAATACTTGTCTCTTCTCAATTGGTTAATAAAGGGACCTACTTTTTCGAACTGCAATACACAAATTCTCCCAAAGCATGAACAATTCCACATATGAAAACATTGAGATTCTTTATTAACCCGGTCTAAATAATTAAATTATACTGACGTCTCGTTATTACCCACTAAGCACTGAAACTGGAAATTTGAAGAATGTATATTTCGAGTCTTAGATTGTAATTAGCTGATTATGGTGTTACTCAACTCGTAGATAGAATTGTAAATTGTATTTGCCATTCTTTAACCGTTAATTTTATATTTCGTTTCACCTCAGCTCAAGATCTAGATGGCAAACTCATGTCATTGACGAGGACATCATTCACGTCGCAAAAGATTAGATATTTCGGCTTTAATTGGCTTCCTAATACGGTTGTCGTACGCCTGGGGTCGTACGTAATTAACCTTTCTTTTGAAGCAAAACTCGATGGTGTAATAACGAACATGTCAGTAAGGAGGAAACCTCTCATCTCCCTAAAAAGATAATACATTAAATTTCATTTTTACTTGGTTTCCCTCAACCTTTTTTGATTTTGTTTCAGCAATACTCGATGGTGTGAAAACTATCACTGAGGAGAGTACCTCTACACATTTCAAAAAGGATCATATAATATATCGGCGTTACTTGCCATGTGATTTCCCTTAATTTTATTTTTATTTTTCTTCAGCTAAACTCGATGGTGTAAAAACGTACATGTCACTAAGGAGAGTACCTCTACACCTCCAAGACAGGGTTATAAAATGGTTCGACTACCTGTGGATATCCAACAAATCATCGGACGAAAACAAAACACTGAAACTGCTCCCAGAAAAGCTGAAGGCTGAGATTGCCATTCACGTTCACTTGGATACTCTTAAACGGGTGGATATATTCCAAAATACTGAAGCGGGGTTTCTGTGCGAGCTCGTCCTACGATTAAAACCAGTTCTCTTTTCCCCGGGAGATTACATCTGTAGAAAAGGTAAAGGTGGCGCCAGTGGTCTCGGTAACTTGTATAGATGGCAGTTCAAAATCAAAGCATTATTTGATATCGAATAACAAGTCCACTTCCATAATTTTTGCTCTTTTTTATTACTCATATGAGAGAGCTTACCAAATTTTTGGATGATCAGTGCAATGCACAATGTATCTAAAGCTTTGCTGAGAAATATTCCGATTTTACTAACTTAACTTACGTTTACATTTTAGCCAATTATTGAGCTTATTTTTCTATTTAAAGAAGACAGAGCTATGCTTAGGATGTATTATTCAACGAAAATCATTGAATTTAATATCTTAAATCCTTCATAAATCGTTTTACCAAGAAGTCAGTCGTGTGGAAATATACACTACCCTCCATACGCTTTGAAATTGTAAATTCTCATTGGAACAATGTTTTGATAAGTGATTCGGGTTGCCAAACATATGAAGGGGAGTGTAGCAAAATAGATTAAGCCTTAAGAATAAGCCTCTTTTGAGCCTAATAAGCTTTAAAATGTACTGAGTACAAACATCTGGATACGCTAATTCCTCCACTTGACCGGATACTAAGTTTTGACAGAAATAAAATCCCGTCCCATTTTAAAACACACGGGCTCATTTTCTCTTTGCAATTTGCCAAGTCAAATGATAAATTTTTATTTATTATTAGATACTTTTCTTAATTAAATTATTAATTTCCACTTTACCTTTCATTTTGAAAGTGTCTAATTTCATTTTTCCTTTTTAGGCGAAGTTGGAAAAGAAATGTATATAGTAAATAGAGGCCGCCTCCAGGTTGTGGCAGATAACGGTAAAACGGTTCTTGCAACCTTAAAGCCAGGGTCCTATTTTGGAGAGATCAGTATACTCAATATGGGGACTGCGGGGAATAGGCGGACAGCCTCAGTTCGATCTGTAGGATATTCCGATTTATTCTGCTTGTCAAAAAAGGATCTCTGGGACGTTTTAAAGGAGTACCCAGCCGCAAGGGTTAAACTAGAATCGATTGCTGTGAAGCGACTAGAAAAATATAAAAAAGCGCCATTAGAAAAAGGTTCGTTAATGCAACGTAGTTCCTTTTTATTCAGTACAATTTTTTCCCTATTCAATTTAATATACATAAGTGCTTTAATCATTGCAAAAGTATCGTCAAACTATTTTTGATTGTACGTCATTTTCTGTCATCCTTTGTATATGTTTTAAAGTAATTGCGTAGTGGTGAAATTCCGTTTTCCTGATATGACAAACAATCCTTATATGCCGTTCAACCGCCCTTTCACAATCTATATCTAAAAAAATAATTCAATGGTTTTTCGAAATATATTTCTCTTAATACTATCTGTTGTATCCTTTTAAATCCAATGAGTAATCACTGGGGGATTTAACTGTCAATTTAATGATACAAATTAGATTAATGCGCGTAGCTTGTGAAAGGGCAAAAGTAGTTCCGGCTTGGGGTGTTTATAATTTATAGCATGCTGCTCAATAATGTTGTACTGGTGGGAAAAGCATGGATTTAATTTTGAATATTTTAAACAATCATCTTCTAATACAATTTAACATATTTAAATGTCTGTATTGAAATGTGAATATTGTACAGTATTGCATGATTTACACGTACATTTACTTACATAAATCCTCGTCTCTGGAAATTATATATGTTCTTAATACGCCACCAATGGTATTATTCCCATTTAAAAAGCCCAAGCAATCATTTCACTTTCATTTAATTGACATGCATACACGATTAACATTATTTCTATTTGACAGTATTCATCGTTTTACTGTTTGTCAATTAGACATGTATTTGTTTTTCACGATTAATATTCAAAATGACGTTAACCATTAAATCAGTTCCCAAAAGTACATCGTATTGTGTGGTCCTGGGACTGGACAATATAAAGTAACATTTTCATAAAGTAACAAATATCTTGGAAGGTGATACCTTTGAACCCGTTACTAACAACAGTTCGTCAAAGAATCTTCATCCTAACACTTTATTTCAGTTGTTCGATTCGCTTTACCAAAACGAGGTAATATTACCCAAGTGCCTTTGCTTTATATAATGGCTCCATCTTTGATGCACTTTCAAAACTAACACTCGTTCTGTTAGTGTTTCGTGTAGTATATGACTTTAATCGTATTTATGTTTCAATACCCATATAGTGCAAATTGAAAATGGTCCGTTATGTTCACCTGGATTTGATAACTCAGTCAGAATTAAAATGCTCCACGGAAGAAATGAAATGCTTCGCGGAATAGTTCACCATACCAAGTTGGTTATCAACGCTATATTTAGGATTTCTGTTAGGTCACATCGGGATTCTTTACATTCAGCTTCTCTTTAAAGAATACGACTAATACTGTCTACTATATTCATTTCACAGCCTCGATCAATCTAAACAAAAATTATTAGATTGTTTTAAAGAATTTGAATTTTTGGTTCATTTCGAACACTTTCCGGGTGAACGTAACATACCCCGTGCTTTCAAACAGGCACATAACAAAACATACTTACAACCTCCCAGTCTAAACAGTAGAAGGTAGAATAAACAAAACTTTAACGGTCATCTTCTTAATATGATACAGTATACAACTTCTTTTCGTTTTTATTATAATATCGCCTTATGTTCAGAAAGAGAGAACAAATTCGTTATCTTATTTTGTTCAGTTTAGGTCACCACTAATCATTGCCATGCTTTATGAGCGACCCCATATTTAAGCCAACAGTCAAGGGCATTATACGAAACCAATGTACGAAGATAGATACTATCAATTTAAAATTTATTTTTATTATAGAGGTCAAAAATAAAGTATGAAGATGATATACATACCTTTTTTATAAGTTCGTCAACTGAAAAATCTAAAGCCTGTTCGTGTTTTGCGATTCAATAAAAGATCGAATTAAAGTTTTGAACATTGATTGGCTTTAATACGCTATCAAGCGAAGATCTTCCGAAAGTTGCCGAACTTATAGAGGGGAGTAATGGTTGACCCAATGCTTGTTACCACTGTATGCAATAGCTGCTTCAAGCCACCGGCCACATTTAGACGTGATTAGCGTTGCATTGTATAAGGGTTTTTTATTTTGTCATATTATGTAACACTATTGTACATCCTTCGTAAATCATTGAATCAATATATACCTGGTCCGATAGGTGGCATAGGGACTCCATCCAACGACCGAGCACACATGTACATGGTCCAGACCATGCACTCACTACATATGCATATCTAGAAACCCAATCGTTGAATCACTTTAATGTTAACCAGTAAAATGTATCTAGACCAGGTATCAAGCCTGTTTGATTATTTCTCTTGGATACAATATATTCTAAGATGCATTGCATGACAAGTTCAATTTTGATCTAGATAAGGTGTGAGTTTCCATATCCATCCGCCAAAAGGTACATAGTATGACCCCAATATGGTTCATCTAAAAACCTGTGCTTTTGTTCTAAATAACGCCACAGTTGGCTTCTAGGCTACCTAGAAAGCGATTATTTGCTACCAAAATAAATAAGAGGAGGTCAACTCTCTTTTTAATTACGAAAATTGCGATGTTGGCAAAAATAGTTCCAACTGGGGCATATTTATGGTAGCAAACCCGTAGCAAATTATTGTAGCAAATTACGTGACTCTCTATAATTTGATGTAGGTCAATTAAACCCCAATACAGACACGTTCAGAATTTTGGAATTCCAAGTTGGATTACGGTGCTCATATCTTAGACGATCTTTTTAGACGTACGACGTTTATATTTAGACATGGATGTGTAAAATGCCAAAGTTAAAACGCATATCGATCTGTTCTACTAGGTCAACCATAACCCTTAACAGCCTAGCAGGGACGATAACTGGCGATTGTGCTTGTATATTGTGACGTAAAATGTTATGTAATGTATACTGGTGTGTGGTCCTGAGTAAATAGTTAACACTGAATGTAATTTAAGTTAGTTTGTATGTGTTTATGTTATTGTCATCACCATAGTAATAATCTTTTACATATACTTTCACAATCACTATTAAACATAATTTCAATACACTTTCACTTGCCGTTTGGAAAATTATTATCCCAGTAAAAATGCAATGAACATTTGTCATAAGTGAATCACGTCACTTGAAAAGAAAAGCACAAAATGCATGTCGATATTGAGTATAATTCATTATTATGTCAGTCTTTAACAATTGTTCTATAACATTTATTATATCACAATGTCTGTGTTTGTTTGCACTATTTCAAGTGTTTATTTTTTGTGAATGGTGTCTAAATACCAACAGTTAATACAGTTGACTTCGCCTGCGGTAATTCATTACATCACAAATAGACAAAATATACATATCGAATTTTCCTTTACTTGATTTCAAAATTTCTTTAACTACTGTGAGTATTTGGATACCATTCCTTATTAGGCAAGAATACGATGTATCAATGTATAATATTTCATATTAATTGGAATATACCACTTGATCATGTAGAAGACTTCTAATGTATTCATGATGTTTTTCATTCCAGCTGCCATAGCGAGAAGTAAAAGTACCCCGGGGTTAATCGAATCAGCTGGAAAGGTACCCTTACAGGCAATGGTCGTCTCACGGCACTACACCCCTCCGCACACAACGAGCTCATACGGGCAGTCCTCCAAAGATTGCCAATGTAGTGGAAGTTTAGGATCTAACGAGTCAACGAGAAGCGACAGTGACAATAATGGGCAGGGTTGTCCCGTACACAGGAACGCACTACGGGAGGGATCAGCGACTCCGGATAAACCCGACGAAACTGAGTCGTGTTCCTTCAATCAGCGACATAATAATATGCTTCCACAATTAAACACTGGATTATCAAAATCTCGAACCCAATCTAGCATGGCGTCTGAAACTACTTCGCGGAGATCGCCTGACAGAGGAACTGTGTCGCCACCTATGTCACCGGTCTCGACTACGTCACTTCCGCAAAGTCATCCAATGGCTGTTCCACCTTGTGTGCCAAACCTCAGTATATCACCAAGTGCAAATGATGGAGTTACCCACAATCCTCCTTTTACCAGCACACCATATGCAGCATATACTCAAATGAATGTATCTCAAACACTGCTAACACCCCATCCATATCAGGGTTCTATATCAGTCAGTCCCTGTCCATCGGCAGGCTCTTCATACCCTCCATCATCACCAAATCCAATAATGTATTCTCAGTTATCACCGATTCCACAAGGATCACCCATTCCAACGAACAACCTTGCCATCACGCCAACTCCAACAAGTGGTGGACACACTCTGTTTCCATTCAACAACATTAGCCCTAGTCCAAATATGGCAGCCAGTATGACGTCATTATCACGTGACCAATCACGTGATATGTCCCAAGATATTTTGCTCCAGGAAATACAGAGATTACGTGATAGGTTGGTTACCTTAGAAACGGAAAACACAACAATGAGTATAAAATTGAACCAACAGCAATGGGAGGTTGAACATAGGTTAGCAGAAATCGAGATGCATATATGTGGAAGTGATAGTCTTAGCAATGGAGAAGACGAGAACTCAAACTCTAAAATGGAACCGGTTAACAAGGAATCCATTATCTAGCCCAATTATCCATTGTTCCAATATACAGTACACATAATCTATAATTCCATCTGCATTGACTACATGTATTCCATAAAAAATTCCGATTGTATAGTTCATTCATGTGTGCAGTGTCGTTGATCGTCGATTAGTATGCGTATATTACCAAGGCAATGATCCAAATGCATGCACCATCACGCAAACTTGCAATTAACATACTTCGGTATATTCCTCCATGGACAATCTAGCATTCATTGTACACGATCGAAACAGCACGGTCATCAATCGATCATAACTGATCAAACAAACCCGCAGATAGTTTGCACATGCGTAATTTAGACAACCAGTTCACGATTCTTGAAATTCAATTCCCGGCCGCGGACTTATTTCTTGTCTGTGGGTTTACCTTAACATATTGGCTTGAATTGAAGTGAGTGTGTGAGTTTTTTTTTTCTAACACGAAAATGACCGAAGATGCTTTAAGGAACCAATCAAATTCCTTTAAGGGTCAGATCTTTTGCAATCTTGCGTGCCGTTAGCCATAAGTTAGTACCCCGTAGAATCGATGATAGATGCAGAGCTAATGTAAAGTATCTCCCAGTTAGCTTCAGGTTTACATTTCTAGCTTATTGTGATAAATATACGGGTTGATTAAAGGGGCTTAATACGCACGCGCAGTAATATTACACTGGACAAAAAGTACAATATCCAATATTGCCGGGTACTTTGCCATTGGAAAGCAAAAATAAAGAAACGTCACTGTTCTTCTACCACGTGAACTTTAATACTATCAAAAACAAAATCAAAATAAAAAAAAGTTACCATAAATAACAATGGATGTACTATATAATATTATCATAGTATATCATATAAACAAAACCCCTATGTCGTGTGCATTCAACTGGTAGATAATACCAACATAACTTCGATAAAATTTGTTTCTTCAAACGCAATGTTGTATATATGGACCATTTCGCTTTTCAATACTAATAAATTTTATTTGAATTATAATGATTAAAATAATGTAAGATAATACTCTGTAATGTCTGATCGCCAGAATTTGAGATTTGAATTGATATGCTTTAATATCAGATATAGATGAAATGCATTGGAGATGAATCGTGATTTTTGAGAGTGGGTTGCTTGAGTAGCTGGAATAAGCACTGAGTTTATGATGTATGTATTCCTTGAGGCCCCCTAAAAATTATCGATTACTCTTGACGTCAATTTGTGAAAAGTACCCTTATTTTGGTTGAAAAATATGCAGTTATAATATCCATAATTGCGATCTCAATCGATGATTATTATACACATTTTCATAATATTTCGGCTTTGTCACGGGCATTGTGACCTTGACCTCTTATGTCAAAGTACGATTATAAAACCTGACGAACCGGAAGTGTGACTGTCGTTCTTAAAATACTTTACATATTATAAATCGTTTATAATATTGTTTATTATAATATTTCAAAATAATATGCCAAGTACGAATGTACTGATTTGTTAACATTGTTGAAAGATGTTACGAGTTATGTCATTAAAGTTAGTTAAATATTTAACATCCTTTCGATTGGTCAAATCTGGGTTGGAAGAGATCACAATGTTGTTCAGCATGTTTTATTTTACATGAGTCTCATATTCGTTAATTAAATATCACCGCAATAAGATTGATCAAATGGCACATCCTGAAAACAAAGGTAAGGTCGCGATATGTATAGTTTCAATATTGAAACTCCTTTCGCTAGAATACAACATTAGACTTCACATTTCAGTTTAGATTCGCCTCACTCGAAACAGGAGCTGGACGTTAAACATATATTTACCAGTATATATTTGAATGGTCTAATTGCTAAACATCACTGCTGTTAACCTTGTAATTAATTCACACTACCCTACCCCCATACTGTAGCCTGTATTTCTTTTAAAGGGATACAGGCTACAGTGAAGTTGCAGATGCAGGAGGGTTGTTTAATTCCATATCTCTGAAGGTATAATAGATTCCACATATATTCCAAATGTTATACTATATAGTAATAAGATAAATACTATAAATACTATAATAAGTACCAGAAAAAACTCATAGACAAAAATGGAGAATATCCGTTCCATTTAAAACTTCACTGTAGCCTGTATCACTTTTCAATATGGCCACGTGGTAGGGTAGAGTGTACAGAATAACGTGTGAGCTCGAGAGATGCATTCATTGAGTTGTGATGTAAATATTATAAGTGTGTTGTATTGTTGGTACTATTTGCGACTGCCCCGCATGAAAAATATAGTATGTGATTTGATTATTTTGAAATTTAAGCTTCCAGCTATATTAGGGAAGTTCTCATATTTTAAGAAAACTTGTAATTAAGGTCGCCTCGGGATTAGTTCTTAGTATTCACTTGCCAATCGAAACTGAAGATGAATTTAAGGAAAAATAATAACACTGGTTTCCTTCGAAACGAAGACAGCAGTCCACGGGGTGATGGTATTCCACGGTTTTCTTCAAATGTACACCTTATTCTTAATATTGGTACCACTTTAACCCGGAGACCCGGATGTAGTTGAGACGAAAGTCACGCCCGCTCTTCCATATAGTTAAACTAATTAGATAGAATAAAATAATAAAGCTAAATCACCTTTAACCCTTTAGATGCAATCTCTGATGCTGACGTCATGCGCAATGAGATTCAAAAACTGCCAAACTCCGCCCATCTTCAATAGATTGGTCAATTTAAGGAATGATACTTCGTTACAAATACACAAACAATTCTGAAATATTGAAGAGAAACGACGCAATTATTAGACAAAATGGGAAGTCAGGCCCGTAGCCAGGATTTGCCAAGGGGGTCACTTTTTGAAAAATTCCAGGGGGTTACCACTTGACAATTTTGGTCTTAAAGTCCCAAAGTGCCCAATCCACTTAAAAAGTGCTCAGAATGGTAAAACTGCATTATTTTGAAAGAACTTTTGGTGGGTGTTGATCGAACTCATCGAACCCCCTTAGCTACAGGGCTTAAATTATTTACCTATTTCAAAGGCTTGACTGATCTAGTGTCCTAAACAGATCAGAGACAGACTTTGAAATAGGTAAGCAAATATTAAACTTAATGGCGATTTCTTTGTGCAAATCTATGTAATGTGTTGTAGTCTCATATAAAAATGCAGTAGAGGCTATGACGTCACAGATGTTAACCTGGTATTACGTAAAGTTGTGAGTTGGAGAATAGGATAATACTTTGGTTTGATTCCATATGAGCAAATTTTAGTATGTAATATTATTAGTTGGGGACATATCTAATAACACGTTAGTGCGCAGATTAATTATTCCTGATCTCGAACTCACATTAATTGTACTAGCCTAACGACAGATAAAGTGTTGATCGTGTTTTGGTTAATTATGACCAGTGTGACATCTTTAAATGATGGCATGTAATTTTTTGTTATTGTTCAACAAAATTTAGTTATATATACATTATATATATATATATAAACACATAAATGTGAATGTTGACTATTATTTATAAACTGATGTGATATAAACATTGTATAAAAACCATTATAAGTGCGGGCGTTTGTCAAGCGTCCTCACTTTGTTTTATTTACGATTACTTTAATGAATAAACTTCCATTTTATATAAAAGTAATCATAGTTATGTTGTTAATGTTTTAATTATACAAAATAATTTCTTAAATGTCCCATATTAAGTTTGAAAACACGTCTCCATCATTCATTTACTATTTCTCATGACTTAAAAAGTTATTTTATAACTTTTCAAAAAATCTTTAAGGAAAAATAGATGTCAGGTTTTTATCTTTTGAATATTCAATTTCCCGCCATTTTTTAATAACATATTTTATATGCGTATTTTGATTCTACAAGAAATACTGCTTAGATTTTTAAATAAATGTTCATAATTTTATTTGACAAATCTGATTCGACTTATATCCATATTTCTTTGACAGTGTGAAACGCCAATGACATATCTTCCTACCTTTTTATTGAGTCAGGTAGTCTATCTTGATTTTTTATTTTGTTAGTGGCACAAAGTCAACTGTAATGATAAGGGTAGACAGAAATAATGCTGGTTACTTCGGACTATGTTGTATTACACGTGAAGCAGTAAATTGATTCACGTTTTTGAGATAAATTGAATATAAGACTAATATAGAAGCCATAAAGTTTCTTCATCGAAATCCAAGTTTAGAAATCCAACTATATTTTCAAGTATTTCCTCCACTTAAGGTTCGTCAAGTTTTTGTAACCGGATATATGGCATCTGAAAAGCTTTGGATGATGTGACAAAGATAAAGTAAGAAAAATAGAAATATCAATAATGCGACCAAATAGAAAGATGAGTATTACTATTAAATCATAGTTAGGATCAACGATGCGGTTGTGTTTTTACTCTATACACAGACTTGCCAACCTCCCGTTTTTTTACGGGAATCTCCCGTACATTTTTTGTTCTTCCGTAAAAAATACCAAACTCCCGTACCGTTTTCTCCCGTAAAAACTCCCGTAAACTTCCGTACCGTATTTCTACTAAAATCTCCCGTAATTTTTTTAAAAATATGACCGTAAAATCTCCCGTATTTTTGCTGAAATCTCTCGTAAAATATCCCGTATTCTGGTATAACTCCCGTAAAATCTTCCATATTCTTGGTATAACTCCCGTAAAATCTCCCGTTTTCTGGTATAACTCCTGTAAAATCTCCCGTATTCTTGGTATAACTCCCGTAAAATCTCCATTTTTTGCTGTCGAAATCTACCGTATTTAAAAGGAATTTAACAAATTTGTGACCTTGATTATTGCAGGCAAGCTTCTTTCTTTTACTTGGCTCCCATGGTTCACTATCGATACTTTCATAAATAACTTAAAAGTACTTTATTCCCATGATTCAAATTGCTTTTCTGCGATCAGTTCGGTATAGGTTTGCACACCAAATGTCCACAAACGGGGGCCAGTTCATATTCTGTCATATTTCTGTCGGGAGAATACATTTTGTTTTTATATGGCGCTAAACAAAATATTCCCGCAATATAAGGCGCATTATGGGTAGGGACTGCTGTGAAATAATGAACGTAAGTGACATCTATCTTAGATAAAAAGTTCTAATTAATTTATTAACTGCGCATGCGTCATAATAATTCCAACCATTTTTTTTTCATAAATCTACCGTAAAAACTCCCGTTTTTTCAGAAATCTACCGTAAAAACTCACGTTTTTTTCAAAATCTACCGTAAAAACACCCGTTTTTTCAGAAACCTACCGTAAGAACTCCTGTTTTTTCCGAAATCTACCGTAAAAACTCCCGTTCTTTCAAAATCTACCGTAAAAACTCCCGCTTTTCAAAATCTAAGTAAGAACTCCCGTTTTTTCAGAAATCTACCGTAAAAACTCCCGGTTTTTCAAGATCTACCGTAAAAACTCCATTTTTTTCCGAAATCTACCGTAATAACTCCCGTTTTTTCAGAAATCTACTGTAAAAACTCCCGTTTTTCAGAATCTACCGTAAAAACTCCCGTTGTTGAAGAAATGTACCGTAAAAACTCCAGTTTTTGAAGAAATCTACCGTAAAAACTCCAGTTTTTGAAGAAATCTACCGTAAAAACTCCCGTTGTTTAAAAAAATCTACCGCAAAAACTCCCGTTTT